AGGAGAAGGGGGGTGTGTAAAAAAAAAAAAGGAGGAGGAAGTGACATAAACGAAAACTGCCGCGTGGCGAGGCGGTAAAGAGAGCTTCAAAATAAGGAGGCATGAGAACTTTTCAAGAATGGAACTGAAAGAAAATTTGGAAATGGGTCTAAGAGTTTTGGTGCTAAAATGTGTCTTGTGGAAGACTGCAACTACAGCACAAACTGCCGCTTGCGATTTATTATTTTCCGTTCTTTCTCACCTTTCAAATCATTTCGTCCAATGACTGAATCATACTAGTGTTCAGAGACTCAATAGATTTCAAGTCTTCTTGGGAGAGAAGTGGTTTTAATAGGAAAAACTGAAGGAAGAGACCGTTATGAAAGAGAGCTCGACATACGTGGGAGGACAATATTAAAGTGCATCTTAAAGAAATGGGATGGGAGAGTGTGGACTGGATCATCTGGCTCATGATAGAGACAAGTTGTGGGATGTTGTTGAGACAATGACATTTGAGGTTCCGTAAATTTCTGAACATTTCTTGAGTAGCTGAGCAACTATTGGCATCTTAAGAAGGACTCAACTTCGTTCACTTAGTTATGGAATCGGAAGGTTCATTATTGTATTCCAAAAGAGATTAAGATTGGTGGGATATGTAGCAAATGTTTGATAATGAAGAATGCCAACATTATCTACTAGGATAGGCTCCAACGGTAAGTGCAAATATATCCCTGGCTTTATTTAATTAAGCATCACGCCATGAAGACGTATGGGGAGTGGAGGTATAGCTCCACCATTATTAAAATCGCCACTGAATGGAGATAAGTGATCAGCTTCACACCCAGCCTCGTTACTCCCAGGGAAAGAGCCCCTGGTACCCAGTGGATAAGAGACTCATGATCTGTATATTATGGAGAAAATAAAAATCTCTTACCTCTGCCGGAAACCGAACCAAAATTCCTCGGTCGGCCAGCGTGTAGCCTCGTCGCTATACCGACTGAGATATTGGCTCTAATAGATAGCACTTTTGTAATTCGGTAATGTACCTTCGTGTTCTGTTAGTCGTAAGGGGATAATATTTTGACTATCTGAGTCACTGTTACCTTCTCAACAAAGG